AGGATGCAGGGAGAACTGGAGGCCAGCGTCTGCTTTGATATGTTAAATAGGCACCTCAGCCATTGGTCCCAGGGTTTGAAATATAACAATCTTAAGAGTCAGAAATAGTGGGTATCTGCAGCAAAACATTTGCTGAACATGGCAGGGCCATCGCACACATGAGCCCACCGCAGCCCTGTCTGCATGGACAAGACCCCCACAAGATCAAGGTAGCCCAAGTCCTAACGTGAAGAGGGGAGGGGCTCATGAAGTTTCTCCCTAGCTCAGGAGCTACTGGCACCTGAAGGTTCCTGGGGGAGGAAGAGTCAGTTCTCTTCAGGGATACAGCTCCTGAGAAGCTGTCCATTCTCCAGTAGATGACCCTAAACATTTGCATACAAGGCAGCACTCAGTGGGATCTTTTTATTAAGAGAGAGCAGGGACTGGAGAGTTGCCTCAGCAGTAAAGAACACTGTTTCTCTGTCAGAGGACCTAGGTTCAGTTCCCTGCACCCACATGGCAGCTCACAACACTCCATAATTCCAGTTCCAGGGGATCTGACCTCCTCAGGTACCAAGCATACTATGGTGCACCTTCATACATTCAGACAAAACACTAATATACATAAAATTAAAATCAAATAAATCTAAAAATTGAAAGTGAGAACACATGAATTTGGGAAAGAAAAGAGGGGTGGGGCAGAATTGGAAGGGAGAAGTGAGGTGGACTTGATCAAAACACATTACATATATGTATGAAATTCTATGGCAGACTTTGTTGACTCCTCAAGGGAGGCCTTACCCTCTCTGAGGAGTGGATGGGGGTTGGGGTAAGTGGGGGAGAGCAGGAGAAGAAGGAAGGGGAACTATGGTTGGTATGTAAAATGAAAAAAAATAAATAAATAAAGAGATTAAAAACCTGGGCATGATGACACATGCTTGTAATCCCAGCAACAGGAAGACAGAAACAGAAAGATGCCTGGGGGCTGCTGTCCAGCCAGGCTAGCCTCATCAGTGAGCTCTGGGCCCCCCAAAACCAAGATGAACATCTCTTCAGGAATAACATCCAAGGCTGACCTCCAGGCTCCACACACACAAACACAGATGCACACATGCACACACAGGGGAGGCACACCTGAGATATCTACACACAAGCTGTTGCTCTGTAATATGGCTTTCATACATACCTCAACCACATTCACTCTAACAAATGTTAATTCTAACGTTCTCCATTTTAGTATTAATTCTGTTAGTATGTTGAGCAAAAGACATAAGTCATGATCTATCTGTCCTAATAGTGCCTAGCATGATGCCTCATAAAAAACCATATGCATTAAGTTTTGTTAAATTTATATTTATGTGCATGAGTGCTTTGCCTGCATGTATGCCTGTGTACCACATGCATGCCTGGTGTCCAAGAAGGTCAGAAGAGGGTGATAGATCTCCTGGAACTGGAATTAAAGATGGCTATAAGACACTGGGTGGGTGCTGGGAATGAACTTGGAAGAGAAACTATCGCTCTTAACCACATTAAAAAAAAAATTGAGAACTACATGAACATATGAAGAAGTAGCTGAGGGCTGAGAGTATAACACAGTGGTAGGAAAGTTGACTGGCACACAAATTTCAATCCCCTGGCTGTCTCTGCCTGTCTCTGTTTGTGTGGAGGGGGGAAATGGTTGAACATTCCTGACTATTGTATCGCTCAACAGTCTAAGAACTAGGATATTTTACATTGTTCTGACAATTACTATTATTAGCCAGTAAGAAGGCAATTTTTAATTTGTGATATGAACAATTAATTACCTTTGTTTAAAAATAATACTTGGCATTACATTTCTGAAACAGACACACAAATACACATGTTGTGTTTGTCTAAGTCTGGCTATTTTTCTTATGAGGGCATTAAAGAAATGACAGCTAACCAGTATTACTGGGATGCTTTCCAGCTTGGAATGTGTGGTTAGTTTTTACTTGGCACACGTATAGACAGCACTTCTTACAGCTATTCAATGCATATTTAATGACCACTTTTACGGTAATCCTACATTAAATCATATTAACCAAACTAAGTTACAGTTTTTCAGACTGCTGGCCAAAGGGCTTCTGGGTCAGCACCATGGACAGGGGGCCGTGCCGGAATCACAGCCGTGGTGAGATTGTCTACCAAGGAAACAAATGGGTTAACTGCTCTTTGGGGGATCACAGAGAGTCTCTGATCTATTCCGGGACTGAGGTCCTAGGAAAACAACCATCCTCCACTGTCTCCAACTTGCATTTATCAACCTGCGTGTGGATTCACTTCTCTGTTGACAAGTGCGCTCTACTGCTCTCAAGACACAAACACCCGTGCTGAAGTAAAAACAATACTTAGTTAGCGAAATAAGGGGACACTGGCTGTCCTTTAAAAGCCTCCATTCAAACCAACTGTTGATGCTCCTGGAGTGGGCTTACGATGTTACTGAAGTTGTTTCAAATCAGAGCCCCTGACTTTCAACAATGCAATCGTATGCTAGCACAGAATACACAGAATGCTCAGTATTTGCTTCAAAATACTCCTGGGTCAGGAGACTGGGTAGAGGTATAAAAAGATTAGCCATGAGTTGCTAACGGTTACAGTTGGAAAGCAAGAACATGAGCCAATTCTACTTTTGTAGACCTTTGAAATTTCCCGCTGAGACATGGGTATGTACTTCTGAAAGAGCACAAAGTACAACAATCCCCACACCTAATGAAGGCGGGTCCAAATGTCTTCTGTTCAAGGTAGAACTTTAAAGAAGACAGGCTGCAACTTCCCAAGGCAGACTTGAAATTTTGTCTTACTTAAACCTAGGTGACAGAGTAAGAGGTTGAGTCGTCTAAGGATGATCATTTTCTTCCAAAGCAAGACCTTAAGAGAGCAATTTCTTAACCAAAAACAAATGAAAACTGTCCATGTACATCCCTTGACAAGCTTTTGCACAAACCCAGAGCCAGAAGGGAGGCAAGCTTCCAACAGACATGGTGATGTGTGCCTGTAACCCCAGCACTCCAAAAGTAGAGACAGAAAGACCACAAGTCAAGGTCAGCTGGGCCACATAGCGAGACTATCTCAAAAAAAAATTTTTTTTACATCCTATTTCATATTTCATTAAGCTAGCATCCTAGTGTGAACAATGGATGCGTCCCCAGCCATTCAAATCATTGATTATCCCACTGCTAGCCAACTTCTTTTAATCGACCTGGCCTGGCAAGTCCTGACCCATTTTCCAATCTAGCAGTAAAAGGTTAGATCTAACGGCTACTCGAGGGAAAATACAACCCCCTATTCAGTCCCTACATTCCCTAATGTTCCCCACACAGTTTGTAAGACAGGACCTCATGTAGCCCAGGCTGGCCTCAAACTTGCTTTGTTGTGAAGAACAGCCATGAAGTCTTGATCCTGCTGTCTCCACCACCCCTCTCGTTCTGGGATTCCAAGCATGGACCACCACACCCAGCTCCCTTTTGTCTTATATTCTACTCACTTCAAGTTACAACCTCCCTCAGTGCAGCAAGCCTTCAAGTCTGTGGTTTTGAGATGCTCAGATACGCGCCTGGCTTGATACCAACAAATGGGCCATGAAAATAAAAGACCCTATTCTTGCCAAATCTTGAACCTGGGCTTCCATGTGACGCCCTGTCACCTTTAACACTTACATCACCCTACTGAGGTCTCAGAGCCCTAAATTCTAAAATGGAGGCAACCCCATCCTCTTTGTGGGATTTTTGTAAAGACTAGGCTTGCTCCATCTGTGTTTAGTCTGTCCTTTGGCTCTCATCCCTAGTAACACTTCTTCCAAGAAATTTACCCAGACCTCTTACCTAAACTGAATCTCGAATGTGTTTCTTTTCGTGGAAGGATTCACCACAGTTACACAGAACATTTTGTGGCTTGTTGATGCGTTCCACGCCCAGCAGATAGAAAACTCAAAAATGGTAAGAGAATTTTTATTCACCCCCCTTTACCATGCCTGGTAGGAAACCAGTACTCAATATATTTTAAATGCCGTTAAGACAAGCTGTGTGCTGGCCCCAATCTATGCCCTGGCAGATACTAGGTGCACCCACGGATTATCCCTGACCTCCTTCAACTTATGCCTTGCATACATATGGTGCTCTATGCCTCTGAGATGGGAGAATTAGTCAAATTATGAAAAAAAAAAAAAAAACTTTGAGAATTAAGTCATTGACCTATTTTCTAACAAGCCACCAACTCTGAGGATGAGATTTGTTTTGCCCACTAACGAATGCCAAGAGCCTAAAACACTGTCACAAAGTAGGCACTCCATGAATACAGGATAGGTATTCACGAACCGGCAGGTCCTGGGACATCTAGCTGTGAAGTTTTGCAGCAGTAGAGGAATCTAGGCCTACTCCTTCCAAGTCCCAGGTTGCCCTTTTGGATCACGCTTGGCCACTCAGATCTTCCCAGAGCCTTGCACAATTAAGAGACTCCCCAAAAGGAAAATGAAACTTCTCCTGACCATACATTTGAAGAGGGCCCGACACATGTCCTTCAGAAGGAGCGCTGGCTCCCACTAAGGATCCCAAAGAGCAAGCACTCTAAGCGTGGCCAAACCCTGCCTGTAATCCTTCCGCTAAACAAAGGAGTCCCTCCCACCCACCCACCCACCCACACCCCGACACACAGACTCGCATCCCCTTTTGCTAATGAAATGTCTCCTCCGGGCGTCTCCAGGGCCTGGGGCAGGACGCTCACTGCCTGTTTTTATGCCGTGCGTGAATCACGGTCTCGGGAGAAATGAGGTCCGACCTCAACGCGTCCCTCTACCCCGAGACCATGCCACCGACCCTCATTCCTAAAGTCTCTCTCGGCGGCAAGTCACGGCGCCCCCGCCCTCTCGCGAGATTCCTCCACGCAGCCTTCGCCCTTGCCTGCGAGGAAGCCTCGTGCGGGGGTCCCACCCCCCACCCCCGTCGCGAGCGGCGCATGCGTGGCCCCGCGGCTCCCAGCGCCCCCCGCGCTCTCCGCTGGGCGAGCGGACGAGGCTGCGCGCCAGCTCTTCGCCCCGTGAGGCCTCGCCTCATCCCGCTGCTGCTGCTTCTCCCCAACCCCCAACCCTGGCCTCGTGCGGAGGAGTCCGGAGTGGCGCGGGCGCTGCCGGGAGCCCGGAAGAGCCCGGCCCTGGCCTCCGACCCTCCCGCACTCCTGCCCCGGCTGGACACCTGCAGCGGCCTAGACCCGGGCCAAGCCCCCTGGGCCGGCCGCGCCTCCCGGAGCCTCGCGGACACACCCCCTCCCGGTCGGCGCCTCCGCCCATCCCGACCTCCGTACCGAGTTCCCTCCTAGCCCAGCGCCTGATTCTCTTTCCGACCTTGCCCCCTATCTTGATTGGAGAAGAGGGCGGGTTTGCAGACTTTTGGGGTGGGTGCACATTCACCTTTTCAAGATCCTAATAAAAATTTGATCAGCCTGGAGTTCCTTGTTCCGGCTGACGTGCTGTCTTTTATCTCCCTCCCGTCCCATGTTTTCCAAGGACATTTAAGTAGGCGGCACTCTAGGATGCTTCTCCGGGCCCTTACTTGGAGCTAGACCTGTTGGCCCTGCTTGGATCATGGCTACAGTCCTGGACCCTCAGGTGGACGTGGAAGTTGAGGAGTGCCTCATAATGAAAGTGGAAAAGGACTCCGGGTGGGCAGCAGAGCCCATTCTGGAAAGATCGGGCAGCACTGAATGTGAGTCCTTTCGTAAATGCTTCCGGCAGCTCTGTTACGAGGATGTGACGGGACCCCATGAAGCTTTCAGTAAACTCTGGGAACTCTGCTGCCGGTGGTTGAAGCCAGAAACGCGTTCCAAGGAGCAGATCCTCGAGCAGCTGGTCATTGAACAGTTTCTCACCATTCTTCCGGAGAAGATTCAGGCCTGGGCACAGAAGCAGTGTCCAGAAAGTGGAGAGGAGGCCGTGGCCCTCGTAGTGCATTTGGAGAAAGAGACCAGAAGACTGAGAAAGCAGGTGAGAGAGGATTTTGAATGAAGGGGATGGGAAAGGCAGGTGGGCGGGGCTACATTGCTGGCAGAAGAGCTCATTATGGAAATAAATGGGACCGAAAAAAGATCCATAAGCTGAATCTCCCTAAAAGCAGATTTTATTTCATATTAAATAGAGGGGAGAATTTTTGTTGAACTATTTATTATCTTGCAAATTAAACTAAAATTATGGCCTGTTTGTTCTAATCCTTGGTATAATGTTTCTACTAAAACTGTATAGACAGTATTAAATAGTTAATACCTCACGGGATTTTTCTTTGGTGGGAGAGGGAGATGTCATTGAATACCCTAGAATCCTCTCTAATCCTTTACTATTCCAGTCATTGTCTTATGAAGTACTCTTAGTGCCATGGTCCTTGGCACTCATCCAGTTTGACTGCCAGATCGTCATTTTTCGGTGTCCTTGCATGCTGGCATAGTTATTTTCAACACCCTTTTGTTAACCTGCAGTGAAATGAAACGAAATGAAATCCTGCAATATTGACCAGGTTTATAGTTTCATCTTGCACAGCCTGTGTTCAGGAGTTGGTTTTGTAAGTTTTCAGTTAACTAGTGTTCTGATTAGTTCTCTGTGTACCTGATAGATAACAAGGTCTTTGTAGTAATGACTCCCCCGCCAAAACAATACAAATAAAAAGTGCTATCCTGTTCCCTTTTTCCCAAACTATGAGCCCATTTCAGTCCACAGAGACTTCATTCCTTCTCACTTCTTTTGTCCTTTAACGTCCTTGGGGGGGGGCGCACATTTCACCCTGATTTGCAATTCTTTTCCTCCATATTTTGCAGGTCAGTAGTCCCCTACACTCAGAGAAGCAAATCCCGCCTGGAACTGTGTGGGAAGTAGCTGACTTTGAGCCAGAGCAACTGGAGAGCCAGCACAGGCTTGTTCCTCATGAGGATACCGGAAGCCTCCACTCAGGATACCAGGACCAGCTGAACGGAAAGAGAGAGAGTAGGCCATTACCTAAGAATGGTAAGAAGGATTCAAAGTACAGCCAAATTAGAGACCGTGTAGATTTACACTGCATCCCTAACACTGTGACTTGCTCGGTATAGGTTCCTTTGATAGCCATTTGGAAAATAAATCAAATACTTGTAAAGAAAATTTTCATCTGTTTGAAGAGTCAGGAGTATGTGTTTACCAAAATAAAATAGGATCATGAAGATGGAAATTAGGGAAACTTAGATTGTCCAGGGCAGCTTTGAATTTTGGTCAGTTATTTTAAAATCTCCATTCAACATTCAGTCTGTGTCTTTAGTCATGCCGTGTGTGTGTGTGTGTGTGTGTGTGTGTGTGTGTGTGTGTGTGTGTCTGTGTGTGTCTGTGTGTGTGTGTGCGCGTGCGCGTGCTCTCAGTTGACAGCAAACAACTTGAAAAGCCGTTGAGAAATGGAAACAAGATATTTTTATTCCAAAACTTGACTCACAAGATAAGGCATCCCAGAATGGTGTATGAAGGGATAAATGGTGAGATTTCCTCAGCAGGAGACCAACATCTAGCTGGTGTCCACACAAGGGCAGCATCTAGCTGCGCTTCCTATGAATACAGCAAGTCAGATAGAAGGGAGAGAGCTGTGTCTCTCCCAGTCCACTTACTCTTCCATCTCTCGAAGTGTGGCTTCATCCCAGGCCAGTAGAGAGGGAGGTGTGGAGGATCCAGTCTAAAGACTTGATGTATTTCTTGTCTGCCCCATACTTGGGCTGAAGGAGGCAAGCAGACCTGAGCTCATAACCCAGCTCTCCCATTTTTTATTTTTGTGGCCTTACGTTATTTCTCAAACTTCGCATCTTCTCATCTGTAAAAGAAAATAGCAAGGTTGTTAGTGTAGACTTAATGCGGCCATGAAAAATAGCAAGTGCATGCATAATAGTGTTCAACAAATGCTAATTTATTTTCTCCCATAATGGCGAAATTATTTTTAAACTTCAACTCTGACTCAAAAAAGCTTTCATTGAGAGGAAAGATTCACAGTGGCTATCTGCTGCATCCAGCCCTTAAATTAAAGGATGTATTGCAAATATTAGTGGATTCTGAATTAACCAGTATGTTCCTTAGCATCAAAGCTCTCTTCATCATGTGTGTTAGATAGCGCCAATAACTTGAAGTGAGAAACTTAGTGTGGCAAAAAATACCTGCTTATAATGTGTCTGGACATTGCCATCTATGATGATAATTTCAAAAGTTAAAAAAAAAAATCTGTTGAAGACTGAGGAGTGGAGAACAGAAATTTAAGAGCTAGATAGAAAGATAATTAACTCTGAGGGAATGTGATTTCAGCCATATGCTTTTCAGAGAACTATGATGTTTCCAAGAAAATTATTTGACACTTCCTGCCAAGCTTGATGACGTGAATTTAATCCCTAGGGCCCACATGGTGGAAAGAGAGAACCAGGTCCTGAAAGCTGTCCTCCAACCTCTGCACAGAGACCATGTCTCTCCCTCCCTCCCTCTCTCTCTCTCTCTCTCTCTCTCTCTCTCTCTCTCTCTGTCTCTCTCTCTCTCTCTCTCTCTCTCTCTCTCTCTCTCTCTCTCACACACACACACACACACAAATACACATATTTTTTTAAATGATGTTCACTTCTATAAGGCACAGTGTTGTAGTTGAAGCTTCTGAAATCTGTTTCAAGTAAATTACACTTGAAGGTTTCCCTGTGAGCTTGAAGGAGGAGGCAGACCATTGAGATTGCTGTATAAAAGGTCTCTTTTCTCCTGCCCTGAGGCATTATTATTTAACTGCTTGTTGTGATCATTGGTGTGCTGTTTGCTGTGTCAGCAGGACTCAACTGAGAACTAGGTTCTCAGTTCTTAAACTTATACTGGGGATGACAAACTGGTAACTTGTGCGTCAAATGGGATTTGTATATTTTACCTACATAGAATTTTGTTTGAGTTTTTGTTTCAGTTTTTGTTTTTGCTCTTTGTTCTTAAGATTTGAAAGCTCACAAAAGTCCCAGGTTCTTGGTGTCTTATTTAGGGTTTCTGTTGCTGCGATGAATACCATGGCCAGAAGCAACTCAGGGGAGAAAGGGTTTATTTCTCTTCCACTTCCACCTCAAAGGAAGTCAGAACAGGAACTCAAATAGGACAGGAACCTGGAGGCAGGAGCTGATGCAGAGGCCATGAAGGAGTGCTGCATATTGTCTTGCTCATCAGGGCTTGGTCAGCCTGCTTTCTTATACCATCTATGCCCCACCTGCCCAGGGATAACACTAACCACAATAGGCTGGACCCTCCAGATCAGTCATCAGTCAAGAAAATACCCCACAGGCTTGCCCATGGGGGCAGGGGGGGGGCAAGCATTTTCTCAATACAGGTTCCTTGTATTGAGAAATGACTCTTGCTTATGTCAAGTTTATATAAAAACTAGCCAGCACATCTGGCTTCTCTTGGAAATGTCAGAAATGATGATTCTTCAAGTGACACAATCTCACCCTGAAGCATCATCTAGAGCCAAGCATAGGCTGCTCCTCTCAGTAGAACATGTTCTCTCTAGTTCCCCAGTCCCAGCTCTCTCCTCATGCACTTTACCTGCTTGTTCCCGAAGCATTTGAGTTGTGAGCATTAGATAAGGTAGATTTGGGCATTGCTCTGAACTCATTGAAGAAAATCATCTATTCCTATCTGTAGATTTTAATGTGCTCTCATTTCCTAAAAGGAGAAACAGCATGAATTAAAGGACCGAAGTTCAGAATACTACATACCTTAATTGTTTCTTCTCTTTTTCTAGCTCACTCTTCTCTCTGGGTTCCTGTCCCTAGTGATGAGTGGAACACTGTAGATCAGGAGATGACAACCCAGGTAATTTACTCCCAGGTTACTTGTAATTGTTCTCCCTGGCCTTCCTCCTAAGGAATTCACTCACAGTTATTTCCCATGTTTTACTGCATTGTTGATGCTTCTTCCAAAGAGATTTTTCCCTTCATTTCTTTTCCAGAAGAGGTTAGACTCAGTCTTCTCAGTAGTGGAACTCCTTGCTGGATCAGCTCTCTTACATCATCTCATCCTAATTCTTTACCGTGTCTTCCACTTAACTGGACACATGATACACGAGTGTTTCCTTAACTCAGTTCTTCTTCAGGGCCCTTCTCTGTTTCAGCCATGGCTGTTCATCCTTTGAAGACCTTTGCAGTTGTCTTGGTAGTCACTGGTGTTAGTGTTGTTACAGGAACCAGTGAAAGATGTCCACACAGTGAGAAGCTTTTCCTCCAAAAAGAGTGTGCATCAGATTCCTTCTCACACAGATCTCTACCACGAAATCAGGAAGGAGAGTGCAGGGGGCACGGTTTCCCTGGGTAAGCATTCTTTCCTTTACAAATAATGGACTGGCAGATTTCTTATATTTTAATTCCTACTGGTGATAAATAGTTGTAAATGTTAGTGCTTAAAGAAGTGGTTCTCAACCTGTGGGTCATGGCCCCTTTGGCAAGCTTCTTTCATTATGGTTCATAACAGTAGCAAAATTACAGTTATGAAAAAATAGTTTTATGATTGGGGGTCACCACAACATGAAGAACTGTATTAAAGGGTCCCAGCATTAAGAAGGCTGAGAACCACTGGCTTAAAGGATCTCTAATGTAGTTATTTATCTGTTCCCTTTCCTTATTCACATACTCTTTCCAGAAAAAATAAAAACATTATAATAGTAATTAGAATATTGAACAGGAGTTATATATGAATACCATATTTATAGTGCAGGAAATACAGACTTACATCTACCAGCCTAAAGGTCTGTAAAGTCACCAACCAGGTCTTTCTACAATTTGTTTTCATTTAACAACAATGACCTCAACACCTACCATAGAACTGCCTAACGGGTGGATGAGTGCCTGTTAAATGTTTGTTAGATGGATAGAAATCTTAAATATTGAATAAAAAGTCATTTAAATGCAGTAAGCTTGGTAGCATACTGTGAATTGTTTAAGTAGACAAGTGCATAGGCACACATGAGCACTACAGTGTCACTCTGCAGGCGAGTTTTCAGAGGACTGACTCCATCTGCTCTAACAGGAGAGATGAGTAGTAGTCATTCAAGTGTGAATTTCAATTCAGAAGTCAGAGACCAGTGAGTGATATCATAGCCAGGACTGGGGAGGGAGCCTCATGAGTAAAGGGCTTGCAAGCATGAAGACATGAATTTGACCCTTAAAGTCCACACTTTTAAAAGCCAGGGGTGGTGGCATGTGCTTGCAAACCCATGATGAGAAGGCAGAGACAGGTAGATCCAGGTGTGTAGCCTAACCAGTCATGTAGCCTACCCAACAGTGGTATGCTTGATCCCCCCAAATACGAAAAAGGTGAACAAGCTGGAGAGATTGCTCAGTTGGTAAAGTGCTCTAGTAGTGGTACATTGTTATAATCCTGGTCCTGGGAGTAGGGTAGAGACAAGTGGGTCCCTAGGGCTCATTGGTAAGCCAGCCTAGCCTACTGGATGAGTTACAGGTCAGTGAGAGAACTTCTCTAAAAATATAAAATAAAATAAAAAGCCAGATGATATGGCACAGTCACTAAAACCCAACACTCAAAAGCAGAAGCAGCCAGATTTCTGAGTTAAGTTCCAGGCCAGCCAGGGCTGCACAGTGAAACGCTGTCTCAAAAAAGAAAAGAAAAGGACAGCGCTTAAGGAATGGCACCTGAGATAGGCCTCTGACCTCTACACATATATGCATACAAGTGCACCTGTACACGCATATACAAGGTTGGACTGTGCCTGAGGAACAACACCTGGGGTTATACTCAGACATACACACATATGTACACACAAGTTGTTGGTGCTAATGTACACTGATACCAGTTTATAACCAATGGAAATAAAGTATACATTATAGACACTATAATCCTATACTGTCTGGTGAATAACTGCTAGCCATACATACATTTAAATTTTTAATTTGGGGCTAGAGAAATGGCTTACTGGTTAAAGGCACTGGCTGCTCTTCCAGATGATAAAAATAAAAAACATGACCAGTATAAAATACCACAACACTGTCAGGTGATGATAGCACAGGCCTTTAACTCCAGTACTCAGGAGGCAAAGACAAGCAGATCTCTGTGAGTTTGAGGTCAGCACAGTCTACAGAGTGGGTTCCAGGACAGTCAGGGCTACACAGAGAAACCCTGTCTCAAAAAACCATTTATATATCACAGCACTAACAAGGTGTTCTTCAAAAATTATCAGTCATCCTATCCAACTGCCTTGAGTCACTCATGAAATATGCCATTAGTGAGGAGGGACTATACTTGGAAAATTCAAATTCAACCTATCTCCTTTATATACAATTTCATATGGGAAGCTCCAAGCCCAGAGATACCTGCCCCAATCTTTTATTGTACATTGTAGATTAATGAGTTACAGACTAAATATGGCCTGTAGATATTTTGGTCTTCATGACATTTAATTTAAAGTTAGTGTGGAAATATGAATTTCCAATTTTACGTAGAAATGAGACTTTAGAAACTGTCAACCCATATTCCTGTGTGGCAGTACTTGGCCAGAACTAAATCAAAGGCTCAACTGTCCTGGGTCCTGCTCCGACGACCTCACTCACTGCTTCACCTGCCTAGAACTTCTGAGTACTTGAGTCTGCATGCCTCCTCTCCTACTTCTCTCGTGTAAGAAGTAAAGAGCAAGTCTCCATCACCAGCACTCCTCAGGAAAGGCGTGATTTGCTTCTCTAGGAAAATCCTGCAAATTTCTTGTATGTGCTATGTGGAGAAGAAAACCAAAGTCCACTGCATACATATTGGATACTGTGCAGAAAACTGTGTATTAATCTTTGAATAGATGGTGTTATTCTTCAGGATATAGTGGGATGAAGAAATTTGTCCTCCTACCTGGCAGTAGTGGCGCACACCTTTAATGCGAACGCTGTTCTGTTCCTCCATACATTGAGGGTAATTTTTAAGATTCCACTTAAAGCTGAGATAGTATGATATTTGTCTTTCACTATCTATCTGGCTTATTTCACTTGATATAATGCACTCTGAGCCCAGGATATCTAAAAAATTTTAGATGAGAAAGAAGGATTTCATTCTTTCTATAGTTTTCTTGTGTATGCTCCACTTTATAGATTTTTCACATATCCTTTATTTTCATTTTTATTTTATTTTATGTGCATGAGTATTTTGCCTACATGTATGCCTGTGTATTACCTGTGTGCCTCGTGCTCAGGGAGCCAGAAGAGGGCATCAGATACCCTGGAATTGTAATGATAGGCAGTCGTGAGCCACCATATAGGACTCAGGTCCTCTGGAAAAACAGCCAATGCTCATAACCACTGAGCCATTTTCAAATATTCTTTATTGATCCATTGATAAATATTTTGGGTTTTTTCTATACCTTAGGTATTATAAACTGTGTTCCAGTGAATGTCAGAGTGCTGGTGCCTCAGCTGTAATTTGGTTTCCTTTACAAATATATCCAGAAGTGAGAGAGCTGGGGACACATGATAGTTGTCCCAGCTCATTTTTCAAGTTCCTTTTTCAAGTCACATCTGTACTGTTTCTCACAGTGGCTGGATGAGTTTACATTCCCACCAGCAGTGCATAGGGCTCATTTTCTGTACATCCTCACCGGCACTTATTTTTTTATCTTCTTGATGTTAACCATTCTAATAGATGTGAAGTAATTACTCATTATGATTTTGATTTGCTTTTCCCTGTTAATTAATGATGTTGAGTAACTTTTTGTGAACCTGTTGGCCATTTGCACATCAGATTCTTTGCCCATTTTTATCATATGTTTTTCTATGAATTGTAAGATTCCTTGTACATTTTAGATTTTTAACCTCTTACAGTATATATGGTTGTAAGTATTTTCCCCTGTGCTACAGGCTATTTCTTTACTTTGTTGATTGTTTTCCTTGCTGTGCTGGAGTTTTTATTGTCTCTACTTTCATTGTTATAGCAAAAAAAAAAAAAATCCCAAGATGGGTCAATTACCTTTTTACCGTATACTTTCTTCTAGGACTCATATATATATGCATGTGGGGTGGAGGGAACAGGTTGTTCATGTGCATATAAAGACCACTGGTCAATGTCTGGTGTCTTCCTCAGTTATCTTCCACCATATTGTTTGAGCCATGGTCTCTCACTTGCCTACTGCCATGTTCCCTGCCATGATGGTCGTGGACACTAACTCTCTGGGTTGGTGTCTATGGTGCTGGAGCAGTAGCTGAGAGCTTATATCCTGGAATCCTTCTGCTGGGATTACAAGCATATGTCACCAAGCCTCCCTTTTTCATGGATGTTGAGGATCAAACTGAGGTCCTTATGCTTATATAGCAAACACTTTACCAACGAAACATCCTCCCCAGCCCCACATGTGGTATTTAATATATTTCAAGTTAATTTTTGCGAGTAGTATAAGGTAGTAGTCTGGTTTTACTCTTGTGCATGTAGATACTCAGTTTTTCTAGCATCATTCATTGAACATACTTTCCTTGTGCATTGAGACAAGAAAGGATGTTGGAGCACATATATCTAAGTAAAGGAAGCAAATACTAAGCTAGCTGTTGTGGCTCAGACTACATCCTAGCACTTGGAAGACTAAGGCAGAAGGATTGTTACAGATTTAAAGCCATCAGTGAGTTCTAGTCTAGCCTGGTCTACAGTGTGATATAGCATCATCCAAAAGAAAGAGTCAAGACTAATGAAATATTTTTTACCTGTGAGGGCATTCCTGAAAGAATTACCTAGATGGAAATAGTATATACATGAGAGTAAGATATCATTTCTAGGCCGGGCGGTGGTGGCACACGTCTTTAATCCCATCACTCGGGAGGCAGAGGCAGGCGGATCTCTGTGAGTTCAAGGCCAGCCTGGGCTACCAAGTGAGTTCCAGGAAAGGCGCAAAGCTACACAAGAAAAACCCTGTCTTGAAAAACCAAAAAAAAAAAAAAAAAAAAGATATCATTCCTAGATTTCTGTGCCTAAGAAGTCATGTAAATAACTAGAGTATACCTGGTCCTGGCTGAGGAAGGCTGTGGTGTAAACAAGTAGTACAGGAGAGCATGTTTCAACAGGAGACTGGGGTGTGAAATAATGACATCTGTGCCTACTGTGAAATATGTTTCTCTTTCTGTAGGAGGCTCTGTGTCTACTAACAAGATAGCCCAGTTGGAACAAAGAAAAGAACCGTGGGCTGTAGGTCTGCATTCCTCAAGTAAGAGGATTAGTGACCTGCGAAGCAACTGTATCAAAGAGAAATCAGTGCGTGCTGTTCAGATCCCAGCAAGGAATTCAGGGAAGGTGTGGCGAGAGCAGCAACAGTGGGGTTTAGAAGATGAAAAAATTGCAGGTGTGCACTGGAGCTATGAGGAAACCAAGACTTTCCTTGCAATTCTCAAGGAATCTCGCTTTTATGAAACACTCCAGGCTTGTCCCCGAAATAGCCAGGTGTATGGTGCTGTGGCTGAGTGGTTGCGAGAATGTGGCTTCCTCCGAACACCAGAGCAGTGCCGGACCAAGTTCAAAAGTCTTCAGAAAAGTTATCGAAAAGTGAGAAATGGCCACATGCTGGAACCCTGTGCCTTCTTTGAAGACATGGATGCCTTGTTAAACCCTACAGCCCATTCTTCATCTACTGATAAGCCAAAGGCCATGCTCTCTCTCCCCAGACTAAAGAGAATTGGTATTGGTGCTAAAGAACAGGTCAGTTTAGTGGAGGAGGAGGAAGAAGGTGCTGAAGACTCCGATGGTGATGAAGTGGGCATTGAGTTTATACGCAAGTCTGAAATCCGTGCTGCCCCTGTCTTGTTCCAAAACCTAAGTGGTAAGAATTGTGCTGGTTTTTTTCTTGGTGTAAAGATAGAAGTGTAGCCCTGTGGAGAAAGTAGTAGATTAGACTGATCCTGGGGAGGGTTATCATACTCCATGATGCTTTCACTGTGTCGTTACCCTACAACTAAAAGGGCAATTGGGTGTTTGTTGCTGTTCCCAGCGCAGCCTGAGTGACAGCTCTGAGGAGCGTGCAGACTCTTATTCAAGATAGAGCTAAGCACGGTTTTTAAATATTTGGTGGTCAGGGTAGAAAGATGACTCGGTGGATAAGAGCACAGGCTGCTCTTGCAGAGGATCTACATTCAGTTCCCAGCATCCACATGGCAGCTCGTAACCATCTGTTACTCTAGTTCCAGTGAGTCCAACACCCTCTTCTGGCCTCTGGGCACCAGGCACACAGATGAAGACTTTAATATATACACATATAATTAATCATATTTATTATATTTTTCCTACAGAAGGAAGGTAAGTCGAGCTAAAGAGGTGTGTCTAATATTATTTGAGGATTAGTATAATCAGTTGTATTAGATTGTAGTAAATGAAGGATGCCTTATTAGTCCATACGGTATAGCCAACAACAAACCAGTGTAAAGGAGTAGAGAAAATGAAATATAAACTTAGCTTTGCCCAATTTAAAAGACAAGAAAGGAGAGTAAACAGAACACAGCCATGAGTCACATGAAAGCAATAGTAAGAGCCAGTTCTGGTGGCACACAGCTGAAATCCAAGAACTCAGGAAGCAGAAACATCAAGAGTTTGAGGCCAGCCTGAACCATATAGCAAAACCCCTTCTCTAAATAAATAAATACAGAAACAAGATGTCTTGGTTATTTTTCTGTTACTCGGAAGAGGCACCATGACCAAGACAATTTACAGAAGAGTTTGCTGGGGCTCACAGTTCCAGAGGGTTAGAGTCCATGACCGTCATGGCAGGGCGTATGACAGCAGTCAAGCAGGCATGGTGCTGGTGCAGTAGCTGAGAGCTTCCATCCTTTTCAGCAAGTAGAAGGCAGGGAGAGAACACTAAATGGGAAAGGTGTAGGCTTCTGGACTCTCAAAACCTTCCCCAAACCTTCCCCAATGATGTGCCTTCTCCAATGAGGCCATACCTCCTAACCCTTCCCAAACAGTTCCACTAACCAGGGACCAAGCATTCAAATATATGCACCTATGGTGGTCATTCTCATTCACACCACATCCCATGCCCTGGCCCCCAGAGGCTTGTTGCCATATAATAAAATGCATTTAGTCCAACTTTAAAAGTCCAGAGTCTCTTCTGAGAGTCAAGGCAGTCTCTTAATTGTAACCACCTGTGAATTGTTTTAAAAAGGCACATTACATACTTCCAACACAGAATACCACAGAATACATATTACCATCCTTAAAAGAGGAATAGGGACATAGTGAGGAAATACTGGCCCAAAGTAGGACCAAAACCCAACGGAGCAAACTCTCAGTCTTGTAGTTCTGTGTCCAATGCCAAAAGCCTTTGACGGCTTTTCCCTTCCAGCCTTGCTAACTGCACAGTTCTGTCTTATGAGCTGGTTTCACTCCCTGTATGCAGCTCTTCCTGGCAGACATCCCATGACTTTGGTACCTCCGACATCCTGTGGTCTCCAACACAATCCAGACTTCACTTTCACAGCTTCACACAGTGACTCTTCTGAACCTCATACAAGGACTCCCCTGCCATATGCCTGTCCCTAATGGCTTTCCTTAACTGAGGAGGAAGAGTCCACAGCCCCTTTACTACTGTATTCTTCATGACTCTAAAGCCAGAATCATGTGGCTGCAGTTGCCAAGTACTGCTGCAAACTTGGGATGGACTCCAGCCCTCTCCCTAAATTACATTTCCATAAGTTTTCATTCATTGCTTTCATCTGTTGAATAAGCTTTCCTTTGTTATAGAAGCAGGAAATTCCTTGACATTTCCTTCTTACAAATTGGAAGCTTAACTGCGTGGGGTGTTGTCCTGAGGAAAATACTCTTGTTCCATTTTGTATCCAGCCTGTCTCTAAAGGACTCATCTCCTTAAACACAAGACTTGGCTCCAGCATGAAATTTTCTGTTACTTTTTTCTCCTCAAATTGTATAGTTTGTATTTCATTTTGCTCTACTTGCTCCTTTTCATCATAGACCCACATAAGAGTGATCACAGGCTGGGCAGTGGTGGCACATGCCTTTAATCTCAACACTCGAGAGACAGAGGCAGGTGAATCTCTGTGAGCTCAAGGTCAGCCTGGTCTACAAAGTGAGTTCCAGGACACCAAAAGCTACAGAGAGAAACCCTGTCTTAAAAAACAAACAAAAAAAAAAAAAAAAGAGTGATCACTAATAACCACATGATACATTAAGTATTAGGTTGTCCTGAAATCTCCTCTGCCAATGAATAGTTCAAACCTCTTCAGTTAGCTTTACACAGATTCTTGGGACAAGAGCAAAAAGCAACCACATTCTTTGCCAAAATACCATAAGAATGGTTTCTAGCTAATACTTGTTCCCCTCTGAAGCCTCCTGAGCCAAGCCTCCACAGTGTACATAGCTCTCAACACACCACTGTCTTCCATGTTCCTACTAGGATGGCCCATTACACCCCACTTATAGCATTCAACCACTTCCCTGGTCCAAAGTCTTCCACATTTCTTCAAAAAACAAGCATGGTCAGACCTATCACATCAGTACCCTGTTCTTGGTACTAATCTGGCTTAGTTCCACCAACTGGGATCTAGGCATTCACTATAGGAGCCTTTTGGGGTTATTCTCATTCTGGTAGAAATAAATCTAAATATATCCCTAATGACAAATTTACTGAACCACAATTAACACATTTAAAAAAGACTACACTCATCATAGGAGATGCACCCCACATAGAGGACAGGCGTTAAAAGAATAGGCCTGGTGCTACGAACCTGTAATCCCAGCACCTAGGACCTGGCAGGAAGATTGTAAGTTTGTAACCAGGTTGAGCTACACAGCAAGATCTTAGGGGTGGGAAAGAAAAATGAAAATATACACCATGCAAATCTGCTGTTGCATATTTGGGGACCAATATACACAGAATTAAAGAGCCAGTTAATAACTATTTGACAGTCGCTACATCATGTAATAATGCTGGACTTCAATTTTCTCCTATGGAATATATGACTAAGAACTCACAGGGTTATTAGTGTTCAGCAAGACATAACAGGTGGAGTTACTCTTAAAAGGCTAAAATGCATCAGTTATTACTGATGTCTTTCCTAGTCCATTGTAATAAAAATGATAAACCCATCAATAGAATGGAAAAATAAATCAGGCTAGGAAAGTTAGAAGTGTGTTCATGAGGACATGTGCCTAAAATAAGCAGATCTACTGACAAATGGGAGGATTGTCATGCATATAAAGGTATTTACCAGTCTGAAAATCCAAAAACATGAGGGTAAGGCTCTTGGGGATGGTCTCAAGTGTAGAAGTCCAATGATGGGACTGAAAGTATCCAGTAAATATTGAGACGAACTATGACTTTTTCCAAAACAAAAAGCATATTTAACAATGTACTAAGAAAAGTTATATTCTGTTGTCTGTGCCATACAGACTATACTCTCTCTCTCTCAAATTAGAAGATTGGATGAGTTATCAGACTCAAAACTACTTGGGCATAGCTCTGATTCTCAAGGAAAACTAGTCAAAGAAGTAATAGATTTCAGGCTGTTTTGGAGGTTGTAATCCATTGTTATGAACTACTTGGAAAAGACACTTGTAGGTGGCTAAGTCCTTCAGTTAGTCTCCATAGCAATGGCAGTGTGGGAGACTACACTTACTCTTCCAAGTGAACTCTGGTTCTTTTGGGATTTTGCCTATTCATTTGAAAGTTGATATCTGTGCAACTTGAGTCTTTGTATCCAGAAACATGGCATCTCACTTTTTCTAGTTATTTTAATATCTTTGAATAAAGAATTACAGATTTTTTAACATAGAGTTTACTGCTTTTTACAAAGCTTGTTTCTGGATATTCCATATTTCCTGTTGCTATCATGAATAGGACTTTAATTATATTTTTCTTTGTCCTTGAGAAGTTCATACATGTATACAATGAAATATGATCATATCCACCTCTGTTTTCTTCCAACTCCCCCAAGTCCCCATCCCAACTTTATGTATTTCTTATCCATCTATCATATATATATATATATATATGTATATATATATACTTACTAACACACTAAATTCAATTAGTGTTGCCCATATGTGCATGAGTGTAGGGCCATCCCCTGAAGCATGGGTAACCTACCAATGGGAACACTTTCAGAATAATTCTCCTTCCTCCAGAAGTTGTCAAGTGAGACACACACACACACACACACCATGCTAGAATTCTGACTGGCTGTGTAGGTCTTCTGCAGCCATACCTGCTGTGAGTTTGTGAATACACTAATCTATCATGTCCAGAAGATGGTGTTTCACAGTATTTCTCCCTGAATAGGACTTTTATACCATCACATTTTAAAGTGTGTGTAATAGAGAAGCTCCAGACCCCTTATATCTTTAAACTTATCCTTGAATGGCAGGTGTGCATTGGGGCTATGAAGAAACAAAGACTTTTCTTGATATCCTTCGTGAGACTCGGTTTTATGAAGCACTTCAAGCCTGTCATCGGAAGAGCAAATTGTATGGAGTCGTGGCTGAACAACTTCGAGAGTGTGGCTTTCTCCGGACACCAGAACAATGCCGAACCAAGTTCAAAAGCCTTCAGAAGAGTTACCGAAAAGTGAAGAATGGCCATGTACTGGAGTCCTGTGCATTTTACAAGGAGATGGATGCCCTAGTTAACTGCCGTACATCTGCCCTTTCCACCAACACTTCAGAAGAAATTCCATCACTCTCAAGGCAAGAAAGAGGACATATTGAGGTTGAACCCCAAGAGCCTACAATCTGGGAACCTGAGGAGACCTCACAGGAGGCAGTGTTAGAAGATTCTGGTAGTGAGAGAATGAGTGAGGAGGAAATTATAGAAGAGCCAGAATTCCAAGGACCTGCAGGCCTACCACAAATCCCAACTGGTAAGGATCATTGGGGCTTTTGGTCAAAGTAAGGAGAAAATGTGACTTCTTGAAAAATCAGTACACCTGGCACGTGGCTCATGCATATTTACTCACTCAGAAGATACTTGAATGCTATTTGTTGTTAGAGGAACAGGGAAATAGAACTGAGTAAAATGAGTCCTGTTCTTGTGGTACTTCCCTTTCAAGGAGGGGCTAAGCTGCTCACATTCTTTTGGCTCAGACTTTGGGACTTTAGCTTGGTTTCTGTCTTGGTGGTCAGACAGTGTTTTGTTTCTATAAATACTATAGAGAAGACTGTGAGATTCTACCTTAAACTTGAAGGAGGAGGAAGGTCAGTAAGCTCAAATCAGAAGCCTCTCACTGTTGTGTGTAGTGTGTATGAGGAAAAGGATAGGCAGGGACAAGATAAGAGGCTTTGTCCTGGTCCTGAGCTCAGCAGCCTGCTTCTCTTGCCATTGGCTGTCCTCACTGGCATCTAACTGCAAACTCAAGCATTAAATGTAACTAAAACCCCACAGTGTCCTTTAAAGATCATTTTAATGGCTCCTCACTCAGCATTTACATCCAGGCAGATGACATGGCTTGCTAAGTAGACTGTCGTTTCTGCCTGCCCCTGCTTTCATTCCATAGATAGCCATTATTCTGCCTTTCTGTTTCTTGCCTAGACTATAAAAGTCTCAAAACCAAAGTTTCTTAGCCATACTTTTTTAGGAGGGTCGGGGAGGTAATCTGAGAGAGAGAAAGGTCCCAACTGTAGCCCAGGGTAGTCTGGAACTCATGGTCCTCCTGCTTCCACTTCTTGAATTCTGGAATTGCAGGCATGTGCCATCCTGCCCAGCTTTTCATTCATGGGTTTTTTTTTGGGGGGGGGGCCACGGGGTAATGTATGTATTTTTATTTTATATACATTGGTGTTTTGCCTGCATGTATGTCTGTTTTGAGGGTGTCAGATCTTGGAGTTACTGACAGTTGTTAGCTGCTATGTGGGTGCTGGAAATTGAACACTGGTCCTCTGGAAGATCACCCATGTTTTGATTGAGCCATCTTTAATCTGAGCTCATCCTATCATTCAAGGCATATGTGCTAGTATTTTCTTTCTCTATGCTTAATTGAAATGAAACTATTTGCTGTGTTCTACATGCTCTCTCATATCTAAACCATGGTTTATGATCCCTCCCCAACCACCCATACCTTGAACATATTCAGCTCTACACATCTGTGTATCCAAATTCTTTCCATTCCAACACTTGGTATTATGGTACGAATCACTTTTATATCCTAAAACCAACCTCCCAGTCAGCAGTAAGCTCCTGAAGGGATGGGAGCTCTCCTTCTTTAGCCACGGGATATGTCAGAATGTGAGGCATTTCACACTGATTTCTTGAAGCCAGTCTTTCTGGTTTGCCTGAATTAGCTGTAGAGGCCCATTAAGAGGAGTTAATGTCCAGATACCACAGAGCAAGGACTTCATACATATGCTGCCTAGAGATATTTGTATGAGAAATCATAAAGAGTAAGTTCAGCCAGGCATGGTGGCATACACTTTTAATCCCAACACTTGGGAGGCAGAGGCAGGCATATCTCTTGAGTTTGAGACCAACCTGAGCAAGTTCCTGAACAGCCAGGGCTATACAGAAAAACCCTGTCTCTGAAAAAAAAAAAAAAAGAAGAAGAAGAAGAAGAGAGTAAGTCCAATATAACTTCTTTCTTTAAATGTTATTTATTCATTTTTTTTTCTGTGTGGAGGTGTTTTGCCTTCACAAATGTCTGTGTACATGCCTGGTGCCCACGGAGGCCAGAAGATGGTGTCAGATCCCTGAATCTAGAGTTACAGATGTTTGTGAGCTATAAAACCCTAGTCCTCTGGAAAAGCAACCCAAGTCCTTAACTGCTGAGTCATGTCTCCAGTCCCAACTTCCTTTTTTTTTTTTTTTTTTTTTTTGGTTTTTCGAGACAGGGTTTCTCTGCGTAGCTTTGCGCCTTTCCTGGGACTCACTTGGTAGCCAAGGCTGGCCTTGAACTCACAGAGATCCTCCTGGCTCTGCCTCCCGAGTGCTGGGATTAAAGGCGTGCGCCACCACCGCCCGGCCCAACTTCCTTTTTAATAACTGTAAAAAGAGTCCCTGTGAATATTATTTTTAGATGACCTCCAGAATGTAATCAAATTGTCAGTTACTATCTGAGTCAGCTAATAGGCTATGACTTCCTCTAAATCCCAGAACAAAGTTGAATGCAATTATAAAACCTCAAAAGGAGTACTAATTGAAAATAACTTTGCTATGGCTTTTTGTATAAGTTAATGAACTGACTGTTGACTGCCCTTCTCTTCCCCACCGTTCCATAGCTAGCGCACTAACCAGCAGTTTCACTTGAATGTGTGGAAGGGAAGTCATGTTGACACCTACAAGTAGGATCAAGATGTATAGCACACGCTTAATCACAAGGGTTTGGGAATCAACCTAGATTTAGCCCAAGATATGCAGCCTGTGAAATATTTATGTATGGCAATAATACGTCTTTTAGAATTTCTATCCAAGTAATCTGAGTAGAGAGCAGGGAGTGTATGGGAATAGAGATGAAACTGGATTAGCCACAAATAGATCATTGTTAAAGGTAAATAAATAGTTCATGGGAGTTCTTTATACATATTACACTGTTCATTCTTCTGTGTGTGTGAAGTTCCCGTAATTAAAAGTTAATAACAAAAACATAGTTAACAAGTGACCAGGATGTTGCTAGAACCAAACTATGTCATTCCAAAACTTCTGGCTTTTTACTATGTCATGCTTCCCATAAAACTCTGCAGAGAAGTGGAATCCAAGGTGTGCTTTATAGTGAATGGGAGTGTAATGAAAATCTAGCTTTGAAAGCAGTAAAAAGGAATATTTATATTATTGTTGTCCATGAGGTAACCAGAAAAACAAGCTACAAGATCATATGGAAAAAATAGTATTGTAGACTAGACCTGACTAGCTATTGAAGAATTTAGAAGTATCTTAAGGAAAATGGAGTTGTCCATTAGAGACTATTCAGTATTTTAATTTTTGTAATATTTTAATATAGGTGTGAAATATTTTAATATAGACGTGAAAGAAGAAAAGTAGAATGAATTAAAACTTCAAGGAGATAAACCAAGTTGTTGCTAAGTTAATGAGGATATAGATGGAGAATGGTAGCTTGGACAGCAATTCAGTTCAAGACTGAGGACCAACATGGTAGCAAATGTCATTGGCCTTTTTATAGAACTGAAAGAGGTTAAAGCATGGTGAGTCAGTCAAGTCACTGTGTGTGGCCATAAACATTAGAGGATCATAACCATTGTAAGCATGGTTAATTATTTTCATACTGGAGTTTGTGAAATTTTACTATCTTTTCCTTTTCCAGATTTTGAAATTGGAAGTAGTATTAAAGAGGACCCAACACAGGTAATATTTAAGGACAAAGAGCCCCATAGAGCATTAATAGAAAAGTCTAAAAGATTTGTTTCTCAGAATACCAACTCCAGTAAATATTATAAAAGGGAGTGCATCTCAGGAAGACAATGGGAAAATCTTCAAGGAATTAGACAGGGAAAATTGATGTCTCAACCTAGAGATCTAGGGAAGGCTACAGTGCATCAGAGGCCTTTCATGGGGAGGAGACCATACAGACTTCTCAAATATGGAGAAAACTTTGGAAGGAGTGCCCGTCTTATGTGCAGGATGACCCACCCGAAGGAGAATCCTTATAAGTGTGGTGTCTGTGGGAAGTGCTTTGGTAGAAGCAGAAGCCTAATCAGACACCAAAGAATCCACACGGGGGAAAAGCCTTTCAAATGTCTTGACTGTGGGAAAAGCTTTAATGACTCCTCAAATTTTGGAGCCCACCAGAGAATCCACACTGGAGAGAAGCCGTACAGATGTGGCGAGTGTGGGAAATGCTTTGGTCAGAGCTCAAGTCTTATCATCCATCAGAGAACCCACACTGGTGAGAAACCCTATCAGTGTGGAGAGTGTGGGAAAAGCTTCACCAACAGTTCTCATTTCAGTGCCCACCGCAGAGTCCATACTGGAGAAAATCCCTACAAATGCGGGGACTGTGAGAAGAGCTTCAGTAACTGCACACGATTCCGAGAGCACCGGCGAATCCACACCGCAGAGAAGCCCTATGCATGTGCCCAGTGCGGCAAGCATTTCAGCAAAAGCTCTTTCCTCACCAGACACCGGGAAGTCCACCTGAGAGAAAAGCTGCTGCCATACTCGCCCTCTGGGTACTCCCCAGAGAGCCTCCTGAGGGGGAAGAGTGATGAGTTCAGGAAGTCCTTTTGACTATGAGCTGCTTTTGCCACGTGCCCTGTTAGCCATCTTACCCCACTCTTGGAAGCAATCTTTTCTTAGCTATCAATTGCAGTTCCCAAGACAGGCCTGAGAATATAAAAAAGGTAGTTTTTTGTCATCTGTTCTCATGTTCTAACATGCTCAGTCTGCCTCTCTCCTGTGCGTATTGACTTTCAGTAAAGTGAGATGATCAGGTTTTTTTTTTTTTGAGTTCAGAATAAAATTCTCATTGGAATGTTGAGGTTAATGCTATTATCCGGCAACTTGCAATACTCTTGCACATGGGTGAGAGTTCTTTTCAGTATATGAATGGTGAAAAGTTTATAGTGTTATCACCCATATGAGATCTTGGCAGCAACTTGACAATGGATTTTTATATCTGGGTAGAACTTTTAGGAGTTTGATCTGAACTATATCAGAACCATCTTTGTTTTGAGGGTATAAAACGAGAGCAAAAGTTTTATAGCTTTTTTCAGAAGTCCGCATCAAAAAGTTGATCCTAGTTCCCTGTGTTGCTACTGAAGTCATGTTGCTAATACCTTGTCCTCCACCAAGAGAAGCACTTACTCACCCTTCATCCCCCTGTCTGTTCCTGAAGACTTAACTCCAGTGGCTGCTGCTTCTCCTTTTCCTGTTCATCACGTCTATACTTACCTCTTAATTGTTCTAGGTGCTCTAGTCTGACTTTTCTAGACTACCTTGACCCACTCAGATGGGAGAAGATGCACGTTAGTGTTGTCTCATTAAGAGAAAATCAGATTCCAAAGTCTAGTTCTACCCCATCACTTCTCTGACTCCTAACCTGTAACAAGACCTACTGATAGGGTGGCATATTTCAAACTGCCTAACTCTACATTTCAATGTACTATAATAGTATTTCTAAAAGTTTAAGGTTGTAAGGAAGAAGGACATGAGATCTGAAATATTTCATGGACACTTTAGGCCTGCTTTAAATCAAAGAGCTACCTCAGTCAAGACTACGTTTCCAGGGTTGACTGTTACACATACTAGCCTCTGCTTCCAAAGCTTCTGGCTCCTGTTCGTAGGATCATAGACCTGACTATAGAGCCCTAAATAATCACACGACTCTATAGTGTACTCAGTGAAATTAGAACTATTTATAAACTTCCACTCTAGAGTACCACCTTATGTTCCCCATTTCCCTGTTCATCTGGAGGGAAATGTCTTTGATAATCCCTTGGTATTAACCAGGTAAATATTGTCAGAAAGTTTCTGGTAGGGAAATAGTTAGCTCATATAGAATTACAAATGAAATTCAGGAATTTGATCTTCCCAAACCAGTTACTTGAAGATGAGGCCTGTGGCATTCATACCTTTAATACAAAGGTAATCCAGTGTAGCTTTGCTTTGGGGAGGAGGAAGTCCCAAGTAGAGTGGAAGGAGAACCGTAGTCAGGGCTCTTACTAGGTTGTTCTCCTGTCCGATGCTCTCGTTTGAAAACATCTAGAGATGATATTTTTATGTGAGTATATTTGAATCTTTTGAGACTCATTCAGCAAAGTATCAAAGAGGGTAGACACTAGAAAGAAAAGCGCTTTATCGTGCCAGCATAGGATGTAGCCTGTTGGAAGGCAAGTGACTCAGGTAAATGCTGATAACTGTTTGTGATGTGTGTTTGTTGGAAATATAATTGTTGACACCTCCGTAGCTTATTTCCTGTGTATTATCTGAATTAGAGACTTCTAATGAATGGTACATGCAGCTTCATGTTGGTACTGTGCCTAGACCAGTAAGATTGTGTGGTGCCAGTGGGCTTGTGCTTATAATTATGTAGATGTTCTGGAATTCCAGCTCTAGAAAAGATGCACATTAGTATAAATTGCCAGTTAGTGACATGTACACAGGATTGATACTTATATGGAAGCATGATTCAGAAAGTAGATGACTTGTTTACCAATACTTATGTACTGTTATGTAGACGACCATGTTGTCACCACAGAGAGGGATACAAAAATAATGGGGGCATGGTGGCTGTACTCCAGCAAGCAAGTGTTACAGCAAAAGATAATCTAGTTAAGTCCATAGTGATGTGGAAGGTCAGTCACCCCATCTGGAGGAATCAACCGCAGTCACATCCTGAAGACCTTCTATAAATTGCAAATAGAAAACCAGTTTGAGCACCACTTTTTGACACATTTTCCTAGCAACAGGAAAGATCCAGGGCCTGTTCTGTCTCCACCACGACAAAGTGATTCTTTCCTTGTGTCCAAGATGCAGTGAGGTAGGTTTGGGTTCCTCTACCTATAGTCCTAATCATAAACAATCTGTTCGGATGCGTGTTGATCTAGTGAACCTTTTCTCAATTCTTAAGAAACAGATCTTCCTACCATCTTAGACCAAGGTGCTTACGTGTTTCCCTTTTGTCAGCTGTGTGAAAGTTAGGATGAGTGATCACACTCTGAGTAATACATCCTTATCACATCTCTGTAATGATCCATAGATCTCAATACCAAGGACTTCAAGGAGGAAAACAGGTTTTTTTAAATATTTGAAACACTGTGATTTTTATAACTTGCTGCTTCTCCCTCATTCTCTGGATGCTGGAAAGCTCAACAGACAGTTCACCTCAGCCAACTACCTACACCTACTTATTTTACTCCATCTAATTTCTTTGGAGATTGTCTCAAGTTCTATTTTTGAACAATGGTATATGTATAAACAGATTCTTTATTTTCTGGCATTCTATCAAAGACATTTTAGAAACTGTGTTTGTATTTCCTGCCTAGGCTTTCATTCATTTCCACAAATACCTTGCTAATTCTTACTGATGATTTTGTTACATATTCAACCTATTTCGTTCATCTGGAAAGAAGCATATGTTTTTGTAAAGAAGAAAACACACACATTAAATACATCAGGGCATCCTGCTACCAAGGAATGTGTATTAGACCAGAAGCCAAAAGAAAAGTTTAGTATTGTTACCACTTCCTGAATTTGATTGAATAAATCACAACTTCTGTCTTTCAGAGTAGTTAACTTATTGCCAAAACTACAGGAGTTTTCATGTTCCTGAAGCTATGGAGCATGGTAGAAATGAAAAAATAGAAAGACCAGACTCCCACCTTGGGTACCCACTGTATGCCACCTCTGGGCCACACTGAGTTCATCTCATGCTTTAAGAGGATGGCAGCAGTGCCAACCCAGCTGGCTTAGTAAGGAGAAAGGAGAAGTCACTGTGTTCAGTAACAGGAAAGCCTTCTTCCCTCTCCCCATCACCCTGAGAGCCAAAGGCGGGTAGGTAGAGTGAAGAAAATATTTTGAGTTCTGGTGCTCAGTGACAGACACGATTCATGGGTTAGGAAAACCCCAGTGGAAGGAGCAACTGAGTGATTTGTGTGGTCCAAAGCCCCCGCCTCCACCTGAATGCATTCTAGGGCCAAGTGTAAATGAACATCTGTCTTCATTTTATGTTAATGTACACTTAGATGTCTTCTTGAAAGCTTGTATGTGAAATGTCTACAATAAATGGCTACCTTTGGTTTGCTATAATTTGAAAGATGTCTTTATTTGAGAAGTCCAAAGCCAATCCTTATAACTAGTAAGAAGACCTTGAATTCATGCCATTTCACAGCTGCCCTCCATAGCTAGCAGAAAGGGACACGTGATGTGAATCCACAGCAGTTCTTGTACGCAGTCCGACTGACATTACAATTAGCCCAAACAATGGTTTGCTTTACTTCCAAGGTAAAATTGATGTTGGACAGACAGACATACTACATGTGCTTCTGACAAGACTTGCATGCCAGCCTAACTGGAAGAAATCCTAGCTGTTTCCCTAAAGTTGTAGGAAATGAAGACTATTCTCTTAGTGTCTCCTGCTGGGCCTGAGGAGTAGATTAACATAAGCAGGTGGCAGGGAAGAGCAAACAGCTTTATCTGTGTGGGGGAGGGTCTTCCAGATAAAGGCCCAAAGAGTAACAAAGCCTGAGTTCTTGTCTACCAACCAGAAATGATTGTGCAACATCACTAGGCTAGGAGAACCGAAGGGAGACGTGGTTCTAACAAGGTCTGTGTAGAATTCTCATCAGCCCCAATTCCCCATCTCTCATTATGAGAACATTTCTTCTTGGTGAGGGGAACATCTTTCACATAGGTACCTCCTGCTTCTGGAAGAATTGTCAAAACAACCCCTCTTGAACTAGCTATTTTCCAAGTGCTTTTATCCCAAAATATGTAAAAAAGGATGCCTTCTTTGGAGGTGGCCAATTCTGTCATCCTTTACAGTATTGCAGATTAGTGGGGGGTTTGGGGGGGATACAAGGTCTGTCTAGCCCAGGTTTGCCTCAAAATCAGCCCAGTGTTGGAACTACAGGTGTACGCTACCAAGTCTCGTGGTGTTGCTCTTGGCCACTGCTTTGACAGAAAGGGAAAGTTCTGTGGTTTCCATGTAGCTCTTCTCACCGAAACAGTCGTGATCATTGGCCTTCGAATCATGGTCACGGTATCTCTTCACACAACAGAAACCCTAACTAAGACAGTAAGGGTTGTCCTCAAAAATAGGGCCTTACCATCAGTTTGCAGAAAGCAACCAATAGCCTTGGCAATAGTTGGAGATGTTAATGGGAACCCATGGGTCCTCTTTGGTCAATGACTCCACTAGATGTAACCCATTCCTGGAACTTGTTGTTTCACTTGATGGTGAAAGATGTCTAGTTGGGGCTTTGTCTCCCATGTTATTTGTTGACCCCATTTAGACTTCTTTCGTGTGTGTGTGTGTGTGTGTGTGTGTGTGTGTGTGTGTGTGTGTGTGTGTGTACACATATGTATAATGTATGAAACTTCTACAATAGTAGGTTCCCATATGCCCCTCAAATGTCCCTTAGTGTTAGTTGTCCCTCCCCATATCCCATTCTTTACCCCTCTCTTCCATCCCCTTCCCTTTTAACCCTCCCATCCAGTCTCATCCCGGTTTCTCCATAACTATATATTCTATTTACCCTCCTTGGGAGATCCTCCTCTTCCCCCAGTCCTGTACTTGATACTTAACCTCTGTTGTTATATGGATTGTAGCATGCATATTAAAGGCTTAAAAACTAACATCTACAAATAAGAGAAAACATGCAATATTTGTTTTGGGGGGTCTGGTTTACCTTATTTGGGATGGATTTTTTTTTTCTAGTTCCATTCATTTACCTGCAAATTTCATAGTTTCATTTTTTAACACGGAATAATATTCCATTATGTAAATGTACAAAATTCTCATTATTCATTCATGGACATCTAGGCTGTTTCCAATCTCCAACTATTATGAATAGAGCAGCAATGAACATGTAGTAGGGTTCTTTGGGTATATGCCCAAGAGTGGTCTAGCTGAATCTTGAGACAGATCTATTCCCAGCTTTCTGAGGCCCCACCACTCTGATTTCTATATTGGCTGTATGAGTTAGCACTCCCATCAGCATGTATGAGTATTCCCCCTGCTCCATATCCTTGCCAGCATGAGCTACCATTTGTTTTGTGTGAGCTATCATTTGTTTCATTGATCTTGGCCTTTCTGACTGGTGTAGAATGAAATCTCAAAGTAGTTTTGATTTGCATTTCCCTGATGACTAAAGATATTGACTCTCCCTCCTTCCCTCCCCCCTCTCTTTTTCTTCTTGAAACAGGGTTTCTCTGTGTCACCTTGGCTGTCCTGGAACTCACTCTGTAGACCAGGCTGGCCTCGAACTCACAGAGGTCCACCTGTCTCTGCCTCCTGAGTGCTGGAATTAAAGGCATGTACCACCACTCCTGGCTTATTGAACATTTCTTAAAGTGTTTCTCAGCCATTTGCGTTTCATCTTTTGAGAACTCTTTGATTAGTCCTGTTCTCCATTTTTATTTGTTGCCTTGATGTCCAATTTTTGTAGTTCTTTATATACTTTAGATATTAACCCTGTATTAGATGTGTAATTGGCAAAGCTCTTTCCCATTCTGTAGCCTGCCACTCTGTCCAAATCACGGTGTCCTTTGCCATACAGAAGCTCTTCAGTTTTATGGGGTCCCATTTATTGATTGTTGTTCTTAGTGCCTGTGCTATCAGAATCCTGTTCAGAAAATCTTTTCCTGTACCAATGAGTTCAAACCTATCCCCCACTCTCACTCCTGTCAGAATCAGAGTATCTGGTTTTTTCCATCTGGTATCTGATCCATCTGGAGTTGAGTTTTGTGCAGAGTGACGTGGATTCTTCTACATGTGGCCATCCAGTTTGGCCACTGCTTATTGAAGGTGCTGTCTTCAACACGTTTATCACAGAGCCTTGTGCATACAGGCTCTGAATGGGTATGTATATGTGTGTGTGTGTGTGTGTGTGTGTGTGTGTGTGTGTGTGTGTGTGTGTGTGTGTGTGTGTGTGATATCGGCTCTGGAAACCAGCCTCTACTAAGTTTAGCCAGACTCTGTGCAGGTAAAGCTCCAGCAGACTTTTATTTCCTCCCCATCCATGTCCATGTCCTAAATGAAAGAGACGTCAACAAGACAACTGGAAGGAAACACTAAGCCATTTATTACAGATCCAGATTGGCAGCTGGGGGAGCCAGGATGTCACTAGGCTCCGGAAATCCCCTCTGTAACCATGGTATCAGGAGGGAAAGGGTGGGAGAGCAGGAGGTTCAGTACAGAGTGCTCACCTAGTATGCAGGAGACCTTGGGTTCCAACCCAACATATAAAAAAGGAGGGAGGGAGGGAAGGATGGAGAGAGGGAGGGAGAGAAAGAAGGAAGGAAGGAAGGAAGGAAGGAAGGAAGGAAGGAAGGAAGGAAGGAA